GGAAGAGCATAGGGTTTGGGATCAACAATTCAACACCTACTCTTCTTAGCAGATAAAAAAAAAAAAAACTGATTGAAGGGTAACATTATAACATTATTCACAAGTGTACTCATTCCACAGTCATGAGACGTTTGAGTTTTAGTTAAGAGTCCAATGGGGGTTGATCGGTGGATACTGACATAGATGGGACATATAGCAGTAATTCACTGCTAAGAAAGGGCACGTGACATGAGTTGTCCTAGGCAAGGGCCAGAGAGAACATGCTTCTCTTCTGCTGGGCATTGATCCTTTCAAGCAAGTTTCCATTAACGTGGCTTGATTCGATTGGTAATCAAGTCTTGATTGAGTTAAGGTTGCTGACCTTCGTTCGGAGATGGTGCCTAACATTGCGGGGAGGGATTTGTTCAATGCTTCTCCTTGGGGAGATTTTTACTTGGGGGGCCCTCCTTCGTGAAGTGTTTTATAGCTAATATTTTTTTATATTTTAAATATACATATATATAAATATTAATATGAGATTTTTATTAAAAAATTCAAAAATAAAAATTATCCGGACTCGCAGATGGGGAGGACTAAGGAGGGAAGGATTACTACTGTAGTTGTTATTTGGATGGTGTCCTAAGATGACATCCCAGGAAGGAAAGATTGAGTGTTATTTGGTGGATGGCTATCTTTTATTTTATTTTATTTTATTTTTCCCTAAAGTCGACTTCCAACCAAGTTCCTTTGTCCAAAACCCGTTATTGAAACTAAAAGTCTTTTTTTAATTAAAATCTAGAAATATATAGATATATGTGTATTTAAGAAGGTGAAGGAATAAGAAGCGGTCCCGCTTATTAATTCCTTAAAGCAATGATGGATGTAATGAATAAAATAGCAAAAATCATTAGTACGTAATCCGGAAATTCAGAAGAGAGGGTGCTAATCTATATAGTAATGATAGCTTTTAAGATAATTGGTAATAAATGCACAGGTCTAAAACGCGTCAAGATCGAGACGGGAAGTTTGAAATATTCAGATCGTCGAACCAATCAACTGCTGTGATTTTTACTCCTTCCTGGAAAGAGAAAGAGGTCTTGTGGACCGTCGGTAGATAATGACCACGACATGTTTAGTACACGCTCTGAGCAGCCATTAAAAATATCTACTTCCATATTTGATCTAAGGGTTGAATGGTAGCTGTCTCTGCGGGTCCTGCGGCTGTTCGTTGAATAAAGAATTAGGTGTCTAGTTCGATTATCTAGCAAGTTGCTTATGTGTAATCAGGGTAGCTAGCTCCCATGTCTGACCGAAAATCCACTTGCCACGCAAAATGGGCACTGGCGGATTAATTAAATGCCCCTGTGGCTGACTGGGTGTGCAGCCCACGTCCTTGCATGTGAGACTGGCTTGGTCTCTTGCTAGAATTCCATGTCTGTACACGCAGAGTTATCGATTTTCTATCTAATCTTAGCGTTCTTTGTCAAAAGTCACCCCCTCCGCATGTGCCGAGTTAGAGAGATGTATAGGATAATAAATTGACCTTACATTTGATGTTTTAAGCCATCAAATTTATGAGCCTACCCGAGAATTAATGCCAGAGGAAATTAAAGGAATACTTGAGTCAATGTATATGTTCCCATTCGATGCCCCAGCTTAACTGGGAAGACAACTGCTTTGTTTAGTGAGGGAATTAGTTAAATTAAACGTACGGTGGTTTTGATATAATCGTTGATTTAAAAAACACAAAAAAGTGTAAGTAAAAAGTAGTTGTTTTGTGATGCAGGGAGCAGGAAGATGGCGCAAGGGTAATGAGAGTGGAAAATGTGGACAATCCTTATAAGAACCAGCCCAATTTTAATAGGAGATTTAAGTTAACATTGAACAAACTCTACGTGTGGAAATTGATTGAATATGAGAGGGTCGTCATGCTTGATGCTGACAATCTTTTCCTTAGAAGAGCTGATGAGCTTTTCCAATGTGGACAATTCTGTGCAGTATTCATCAACCCCTGCATCTTCCATACTGGCCTCTTTGTGCTGCAGGTATGTTGATTCACCTCGCCCTCTATTTATTTATTTCTTTTAAAGTCCCATCAATCAATAAAGTAAATTTATTTTCTTACTCGTGTTTGGAATTCTGTCTTTGGTATCGCAGCCATCCATGGAAGTGTTCAAGGACATGCTTCATCAGTTGGAAATTGGGAAAGAAAACCCAGATGGCGCAGACCAAGGTTTCATTAGTGGCTACTTCCCAGACTTGCTTGATATGCCGATGTTCCATCCACCTCTAAATGGCACCACAGTCAACGGGTCGTATAGACTTCCTTTGGGCTACCAAATGGATGCCACTTATTATTGTGAGTCAAACAAGGATGCGCTGCCCTGTTAATCAAATTTTTATGCTTTGAACTACTTCTGTCACTAATTCTAGATGTCATCATATAATGCATTTGCAATATGACTAAAATCACAAGAAGAATGTGATGTGACCGTATCTAAATCGTGCTCGGTTCTTGTTGGTTTCAGATCTTAGACTCCGCTGGAACGTACCCTGTGGGCCTAACAGCGTGATTACTTTCCCTGGTGCATCATGGTTGAAACCATGGTATTGGTGGTCATGGCCTGTCTTGCCATTGGGCATTCAATGGCATGAACAACGTCGCCAAAGTCTCGGGTAAGTTTTCTTCTCAACAGCCAAACATTTCATGAAATCCTGAAAGCTGTCGTAGCAATGTTGGTAACAAACATTTCTCGTGCAGATACGGGACAGAAACGCCCATGGCACTCATTCAGTGCATAGTTTACCTAGGTATAATAGCAGTAACGCGTCTAGCACGGCCGAATATCTCCAAGATTTGCTATCGGCGAACAGAAAAGAACATCTCCGTAATACAAGCCGGTCTTAAAATGTTGGCAATATGGTCAATTCTTGCATCCTATTTACTCCCCTCCATCATCATTCCTTGCACAATTCATCCATTATTAGGCTGGGGATTGTACTTGCTCGGTTCCTTTGCACTTTGCTCCATAGCTATCAATGCGTTTATGCTGCCGATGTTACCAGTTTTGACTCCATGCCTAGGGATATTCGGGGTCCTCTTGGTCATGGCATTTCCTCTCTACCCGAATGGTATTATAAGATGTTTATCTATTTTTGCTTACGCATTCTGTGCTGCACCTTTTCTCTGGGTATCACTGGTTAAGATCATGGCAAGCCTTCAAGCATCACTTGAAAGGGAAAACTTCTTCCCTAGATTGGGTGAATCTTCGCCACCTTCTGGATTCAACAAGTTATATTAGTGGATTAACGGCCACAATCGTTGTGTTTTTTTGTCCTGGGGACTTGAAAGGATTATCTGATTGTCGACTGATTTGAAGGTGGTTTGTCTACGTGCGAAGAAAGGATAAATGGGGAAGTCTGATTTTGCTTAAAGCTTCATTGTAATATTTGCCCCAGTCCTGACCGGGAGACCCCGGATTAATGTTGGATGAAAAGGTGGCCGCTTTAAACGTATAAAGATTGTTTGATTTGGGTTCATAGCTTGGTCACGAGAACCATGGAAAGTTGTATTTCTAGTGCATTTCATTAATTTATACTCCATTTTTGTACAGATGCTTCTTATTCTCAATTAAGATCCCATACTTTTTTCCCATTTCACTGTGTAACCATCTTCAATGTCATTATTATTGATGCATTGTTTTTTTATTAACACAGTGTTTGTTTTTGCAGTTTGATTATATTTATATATAAAAAAATTATATGCTTCTCGCATGAAAAAAAAAATGAAAAGACAAAAAAAAAAAAAAAAAAAAAAATAAAC